TGTTTTCCTAGCAGTCCATGGTATTCTCAATACTCTTCTCCAGCACCACAGCTCAAAGGCATCAATTCTCCTTCTATCCTCCTTGGTCACTGTCCAAAATAATATATAATATGGGAGAGCCTAGAGAGAATTATGCTAAGTGAAATAACTCAGTTTAATAAGGACAAAGTCTGCATAAAACTATTATTGTAAAAATAGAAGGTTAACTGTGTAAGATATGTATAAATGTTCAAAAGAAGAGGAGGAAAGGGGTATAAAAAGTGGAAGGGAAGAAAGTACCAGGATAGCAGAGTTGACTGGGCAGACAGGTGTGTGTGAAGAGCTAGGAAAGATACAATCAGAACTTGAAAAGACAGGGTAATGATATGCACACATCAATAGTTAATTAACTATATAAACACAACGTAAATGAAAGATTGTATAAAATACAATGTACATGAATGATGCACAACATATACTTTTTATACAAGTAAATTTAAAAAAACTAAAGGGAAAAAAAGCATATAAATTATATGGGAAGGAAAAATACTGGCTGGAAAAGGACCAAGGAAAGATGCCTCACCATAAGCTTTAAGGGAACAGGGATCCCTCACTAAACCCTGTTTGATGCTGGTGTGCAGGGATTGTCAAGTCACCTATCCAGTGAACTGGCCTCCAATCTTGGTCACTAAATTGAAAAAGAGGGCTTTGTCAACGGCCTTGCCAAGCATATGTCCTAATAAGTATTATCTTAAGTTCATTACCCTGAGAGATTAGAGGAAAAAAGAGAACAGATGCTTCCTCATTCTTTCCGGGATCCTGCCTTCTTTTCTGGTGATTTCTTTTGCTCTTCTGGGTCTGTACTCTGCTAGCCTACCCAGGCAGGTCACACCTTCTCTCTTTATCTACCTTTATTATTTTTTTTCTTGGTGAGAAAAATTTTTATTTAGAATTAGCCAGCTGGACTTGGTTTAGATGAACCCAGTTTTGTTGACAACATCCAAAGCATGATAGGCAGGAACAAGTTGAACACTGGCCTTCTTCTCTCCATCAGGCCTAATCAAGGTGTTGACAGAGGCCAATGTCACAGAGCTTCTTTACAGCTTGTTTAATCTGGTGCTTGTTAGTCTTGACATCCACAAGGAACACAAGTGTGTTGTTATCTTCTTCATGGCTGACTCAGTGCTCAGGGGAAACTTGATGATGGCATAGTGGTCAAGCTTGTTTCTCCTGGGGGCACTTTTCCAGAGGTATTTGTGCTGCCACCTTCTTTTTTTTTTTGGCTGTGGGTGCCCTTCAGGACTGCCTTCTTGCCCTTTAATGCCTTTGCTTTGACTTCAGTTTTTGGAGGGACAGGGGCTTCCTTCTTCCCTTTCAGCCCTATGTTCTAGAAAGCTTATCTGCCTTTCTTAGTGCCCTTCCCTTCTTCCTTGGTGAACTCAGTTTAATATGTGTATGGCAACTTGACTTGTCAACACAGAAATAACTGATTTCTATTTAACCCTCCCACAAATACTTGCATAGAGCTCTTGTGCCACAATCTGCCAACACAAAAGCCTTGCCTTTCTGATGGTTTGAATCCACCAGTGGCTCCAAGGAAGACAGACAAGCAATGTCTTCGATGCAATTCACAGCCTTTGAAAACCCTCAGAGGGTCAGCTATGCATCAGTTGCGTCATCAAACATGGATTACAAATCCTAATCATTCAAATAGGAGTAAAATTTCAAGGAAGATAGCACTGATGATACCAGCAGAGAAGCCTCACTGACATTTAAAAACCCTGTTTCTTGGGGAGCTCTGGTGGCCTAGTGGTAAGGAGCTGCAACTACAATCCCAGAGGTGCATGGTTCGAATCCACCAGATGCTTTGCCGAGGAAGGAGGGACAATCTCCTCCTGTACCAGTCAGATATAATTTGATGGTACACTCACACAAAAAATAATAATAGTTAAAAAAAACAAACAAAAAACCAAAAAAACCCCACCCTGTTTCTTATATTGGCTTAAAAAAAACCAATGTTAAAATTAGCTGTCCATTTTCTCTATGGTTATTGCAAAACCCCATCCCTACCTTATATAAAGTGTTTCAGAAATCAAAGCAATCATGTCAATAAGGATAATACCACCACTATCTCTACTCGCCTTTCAAAATTAAAATTATCCACCTGAATGCATGCCTTTTTAGAAGATTTTCATAGATAATCAGTTTATGTATGTGTAAAATCTACTTTCTCCAGTCTTCTCGAAGTCAGTTAGTTATACAATCATATTTAAAGTACTTATTTTTTTTTCCTCTTTCTCCATTTCTGGCAGCCAGAAGTTTAGCTATACTAGACTGCGTCTGAACTATTTTCCCCATACAGCAGACTTACTTTTATGCTTCGGGTAGATAACATCGAAACCAGGCAAGGGCATGACCACATCATGGATGGAGTAGTTGCTAACATCATCTTCCTCAATATAGGTGGCTGTGGCTGTAAATTCACAAGTCAGCAAATTAAGGAACTATACGATTGTTTCATGAATCCGGTAATTTAAAATTATGTACATATACGTATGTTGGAAATGCATGTTGGCTAGGTTGAGAGGAAGCTTAAGAAAATTAAGTTAGAATCTATGCCCTCTGGTGTGTATATGTCATCTGGGTTTTCTACATTAAACTACAAGATTGAGAGAAAGTTGAACTTTTCATGAAAATTAGAAACATTTATTTCTGGGCAACACCCTTAGTCTTTGGGAATACTTATAAAAGAAAAATTTCTTTTTCTTTCCTAAACACACTGTAAAATGCTATGTGGAAAGCCATCACTGAATGGCTTTTTGCTAAAAGAAGAGACAACTTAAACCTCACAGCATCTGGTTTTAGAGGCTAGAATGTGACAGTGCAGTTGTTATTATTAGGTCCTATCAAGTCTAGAGGAAGGTCTGGTGGCCAAGAGGCAAGAAGCTGTGCTGCACTCCAGCTTCTCCACAGGAGAAAGATGGACAATCTCCTCCTGTGCAATTCTTCCTCCGATAACCCATCAGAGAGTCAGGTAGGGGTCAGTTCCCATTTGATGGTACATAACAACATCAAGTCAGGTATAACAGTGCATCTGAACCTTGCCCTATTCTGTGCCATCCGCATGGTCTGACATACTTGAGCCCACTGTTACAGTCCCTGTGTCAATCTATCTTGGGGAGGGTCTTCTCCTCTTTTACTGATCCTCCACCTTTCCAAGGATGATGTCCTTCTCCAAGGATTGACCCTTCCTACTAACAACATGCTCAAGATTTGAGAGACGAAGCTGTAGCATCCTTACTTCAGGGGAACATCCTGGCTGTACTTTCTCCACAACAGCCTTGTTTGTTCTTTTAGCATTCTATGGGATATTCAGTTCATAGATACGCTTCTCCAACCCCACAACTCAAAATGCAGTAGACATTAAAAATATGCTAGATTCTGAGCTTACACTGTCCTGCCATCTCAAACATGTCTCCTTTTCTTAACTAGTAGCCAGGCTGATTTTAAAAACACATCACTGCATTGAAGCTTGGCAGAAATAAGACAGCACTGCCTCTGTACCTCCTTTGAGAACCAGGTCCCCCGGAACAGGCTTCAGCCCGTACTCTTCTATCCTCTTGCTCACCATGTTATTCCAGACATAACTCTGGTAGCTATGGATATACATCAAGCGGTTATTTCTTGGTATCTAGAGAAGAAGGGAGGGAAGGGGGGGCGGGCGGAAAGAATACAAGAAGTTAACATAAATCTATTATTTTGAATATAAAATGTATTCTACTTTCAAGAACATTCTGCTTGCTTAGGAAACACATCCCTTCAATCTGCCAACTTTTCTACCAGCCTATAAAAGCAGTTGACTGATATGCAGCATCCAATTTCAGACATGGAGCCTCTCAAGAAATCACAAGCAGCTGCAGCAGGTCCTGCTTTGTATAAACTCATACACTGAATAAACTTATGCAAATAAATCAAACGCCATGGACTTTACAGGCTGAATCAAAGACATAGACATAAAACTCAAGGAATTTACAAATCAATGATAGAGCTAACAATGCTTTCTTCCTCACCATTCTAAGCAAAGAGAAAACCTAAATGACTGGGCTGACACTATTATGTAGAAGAATCCCATTGTTTTGCTTTATTTACAACTAGGAAGAGTAACTAAGACTTAAGTTTAAAGGTTAAACCAGCCAATTCTGGGTTACTGATGTCTGTATCCTGATAGGACATTTAAGGTGCTCCTCATTCATAACCATCTTGCAGAAACCAGACTATACGACAACTAATTAACTTGCTTAAGGGACAATACAGGTGGTCCTCAGGTTATGGATGCCCAGCCTACGTTTACTCTTAGCTATAAGCCAATCAGGTAAAGCCTCTGATAGTAAAAATCCAAGGTATACATGCTGGTTCACAGTAACTAACATGAACATTATTATCATTGTATTATGACACTAGAGATGCTTTCGTATTCTCTGAAGTATTGCTTTAATTTTTTTCATGCATAGAAAGGTAAGCAAACATCTGACAAACAAATGTTAGAAATGAACTGTACCTAACTTTTCCAGCAAAGCACAAGTATGACTTAGGATCAGATGCTGTTCACTGTAATGCTCGAATTGCTTGTGTACTGTATTGAGAACGATTAAAAAACATCTCTATAATTCTAGAGGATTCTATTTTTAAATACTAAGACATTTAATTTAAATGAAATGATAAAGGAATTGCTTTCCTTACGCTGGTGATGTGAACAATTACTGTTAAGACTGTCCTTCCTGTTCCCTTTCCAGATCTGAACAAGGATCACCTGGGTAAAAACACCTCTAGTGGCTCACCAAAGGACTGGCAATTAGATCTCTTGCTTTCTAAATTTAGTACAGTCTTTAAAGAGGAAAAACATTTATATCTCGAGCCATTGCCTGACTTGACAAATTGCACTCACTATGCCAAATGCAGAGACTATATTCTTCATTCCATATTTTGAAAGTCCTCGAAGCAGCTGCCCTTCCACACACCTTTTGACAGGTAGTTTTTTGAGGGCAGCAGCTGGGTCTTTGGTCTTTGCCCATTCTTCTCTGCACTTGACCAAGTACCCCTTTTCAGCTGGAAAGACAAAAGCCAGCTGATTAATCAATAGAGCCGACAGAGAGACTTCCATAACTTAATATGCTTCAACAAGGGAAGATACTATCAGAATATGTTGTTCTTATGTGCTGTTAAAGTCTGAAAAGACTCATAGATGAGACTCCAGTGGGTTTTCGAAGGCTGTAAATCACGGGAAGGAGACTGTCCATCTTTCTTTCTGAGAACAGGTAGTGGACTTGAACTGGCTGCCTTTGGATTGATAGTGCAACTCCTTACCACTCAGCCACCAGTGATATTATATTATCATACTATATTGATATAATTATTTATCACTATATTTTATTTGTATTTCATATTATACTGATATAATATTATACATAGTGCATGCTGTATGCTACTCAATCTAGGATTTAAAATTATTTACTGCTCATTATCTGAGCTGCTTAATCAGATGACATGCCCAATGTATATAGTAATTTTGACAATTAAAGTACTAATCAAATTCTTTTTTTATACAAAATGGTTTTAGAGATACTTTCTGGTGACCGGTTGTTTTTTTTTGTAATTCTGATAATTTCCTTTTATTTAAAAAGGTATAGCTAAGGTATACAAACATGCAACACATAGAGATTTAAATGTAGAGAAAGAGGTGGACTGAGAGAATGCACACAACATTGTTGCCATGTTGGAGGAGAATGGAGGATGCAGAGATATGATATGAAAAGAAAAATCATTTCTTCTGTCTACTTATTGTTATTGTTGTTGTTATGTGTCATCGAGTCACTTGCTACTTATAGCGACCCTATGTACAAGAGCCCTAAATGCCGCTCTATCCTGTGCCAACCTCACCGTCTCCATCACTGTAAATTTTTTTTTTAATTTAGGTTGTTTATTTTTCATTTCAATGAACATCTACAGAGATTTTGGAATTCCATTCATTCATTGTTGCACCCTTTATGGTGACAGTTTTAAGTAACTCTTTAAACAGAAAATCTTAAGACATTTTCCTTTGATTTTTAATCACCCTATGTTTTCATGAAAACCACAAATGGAATCCATGTGGTCACCTCCCTGGAGAGACCAACCAAGTGCTCACAAGCCATTTTAACCGGACAACTGGAAGAGCAACAGGGGGACACAAATCCAAACATGTGTAACTATACCTGTACAGTTCAAACTTGTGCTATTCCAAGGTCAACAACATGTTTATTCAAGGCAATTTTATGAAAATATATATATATAATTTCCCCCCCTTAACATTAATTTTATTCTCACCTCCAGAACGGGGTTTCAATATTAAATCCATGACTTCAGCCCAGGAATTTTGTAGTATAGCTCTAAAATAAAATATAGTATTTATTTTACTTAACTTGCCTTAATTGGAATTGAATATGCCCAAATCTTTATAGCACCAACAAATCATATTAAATCGTATTTTAATTAAAGTCACTAGTAAGCAGAAAAATTACTGGAAAGATACACATTTTTAATGCAAATGCCATAAAAATTTTTTAAAAAGAAAATTTAGGCCATGAAATACTGTTCACCTACTTAATAATTACTTTTGTTTTAACATACTGTAATAGTTTAAAACACCTAGTTATGCTGTGAGCTGCTATCCATGATGTAAGGTGCATAAGTCAATTATATCTATATATGGAAAAATTTTTGAAATGTTTCAATACTTTTTTTCTCTCACCTTACATATCTTCCTGTCTAGCCAAGAGGAATAAATATATTTTACTCAAGATCCTACCATTTCTTTTCCTTTCAAAAATTTCACTGTTTTAAATGAACACTGTTTTAGATGATTTACACAGCAAATCAGGTTCCCATTTAACAACTTTTATACTACTATTTCAGGGCGTGTGTCAACTTTCTCAATTCCCTCCTTCATGTTTGTTTCCATCAGTAATGTGGGGGAGCATTCCTGTCCTCCCCAAAAGTCATCTGCACTTGTTTTTCTTTTCAATCACTGCTATTTTTGCAGGGCTGAGATGGTATCTCATTGCAGGGTTTTATTCTACATTATTTTCTTTCTCATTTTCTCTTTATTTTATATTGGTTTGCATCATTATAGTTTTGATTTGCATCTCTCTGACAACTAATGAGGAACCCTGGCGGTGAAATGCTGGGTTGCTAACCAAAACCTGTGAGTCACTCTAGGGAAGACAGATGAGGCCAATGAATCCCCCTAAGATTTACTACTTTGAAAATCGGATGGGGGCAGTTCTATTCTTTCCTAAGGGTCTTTAGGAGGCTGAATCAGCTTGATTCGGGTTGAATATTTTTAGAATGTCCAGTGTCCACAAGAATCATTTTGTTGGTCACCTTAATGAACTGTCTTTTCATGTCCTTGGCCATCTTTTAAAAACTGGATTGTCTTTTTGTTGTTGTTAAAACTGTCTATATATTTTAGAGATTAAACCCTTGTCAGATGTCATTGTCAAAGGTAATTTCCCAGTCTGTCGGCTCTCGCTTTACTATTTTGGATGGACACAAGTATTTAATTTTTAGAAGGTCCTAGTTATCTGACACTCCCTCATTTTCCCATGCATGATGTCCTTCTCCAACGAAGAGCCTTACCTAGCTACATGTTCAAAGTATAAAGGACAAAGCTTTGACACTCTAGTTACATCTTCTCTAAGATTTATCTGTTTGTTCTCTTGGCAGTCCTTGGGATATTCAGTACTTTTCTCCAGCATCACAACTCAAAGGCATCCATTTGTCTGTCATCCTTACTCACGATCCAGCTCTCCAATATGTAAGAGGTGACTGAAAAGACTATGGCCTAAATTAGGTACACATTAGTCTTTAAACTGACATCACTACTTTTTTTTATTTTATTATTTTTGTGTGAGTGTACCATCAAATCAGATCTGACTAGTACAGGAGGAGATTGTCCCTCCTTCCCCGGCAGAGCATCTGGTGGATTCGAACCGTGCGCCTCTGGGATTGTAGTTGCAGCTCCTTACCACTAGGCCACCAGAGCTCCCCTACATCACTACTTTTTAGCATTATGGAGAGGTCCCTGAGAGTGGACTTGTCCAATATAATAATGCCTCATTACTTCCTGACTGCTGATGCCAAGACTTAGCTCTGTCACTGTCTGTGCCAATATCCCTGCCCAGGAACCCATCCTGCCATGCTACCATGGGCCTCAGCTATGGTCCCTGTGTCATGGTATTTGTATGCCAGATTGTCTTTACAGTTTGTGTTTAGTGGTACAATGCAATGAACATGTTGTTGTTGTTGTTATGTGCCATCGAGTCGTTTCCGACTCATAGCGACCCTATGCACAACAGCTCTAAACCCTGCTCTATCCTGCGCCAACTGCACCGCCTCTGACACACCCATCCCGATTACCCCAGTCACCGAATCAATCCATCTCATAGAGGGTCTTCCCCTCCTGCGCTGTCCCTCCACCCTCCCAAGCATGATGTCCCTCTCCAAGGACCTGTCCCTCCGGGTAACATGTCCAAAGTATGTCAGACGAAGCCCCAGAATCCTTGCCTCCAAGGAGCAGCTTGGATTAATCCTCTCCAAGATGGATCTGTTTGTTTTCCTGGCAGTCCAGGGTACATTCAGTACCCTTCTCCAGCACCACAGCTCAAAAGCATCCACTCTCCTTCTGTCCTCCCTAGTCATTGTCCAACTCGCTGATGCATAACAAGCGATTGCAAATACCATGACTTGTATCAGGCGCACCTTAGTCTCCAGAGAGACACTGTTGCTCCTGAGTACGTTTGAGAGGTCCCTAACGGCAGACTTTCCCATCGCGTGTATATTTACCTGCCTGGACTGTAGTTTTGTTTGGTTTTTTTTTAAATTTTCATTTATTTACTTATTTCATTTTCATGTACCATCGAATCAGATCCGACTGGCACAAGAAGAAATTGCCCCTCCATCTCCAGCGCAGAGCTACTGGTGGATTTGAACCGTGCACCTTCAGGTTTGCAGAGCTCCCTTGGATTGTAGTTCTTATTGATGTGGAATGTCTACCTAATAGTGGGATTGCTGGATTGATTTACAGAAATTTTTTTTTGGTAGTTCTACTTCCAGTGTTTTAAGGAAGCATCAAATTGCTTTCCATAATGGTTGCATCATTTTATAGTCCCAGCAGAAATATATGAGAATTTCAGTCTCCAAGTCTTTACCAGCATTTGATGTCTTACTTGAACTTTGCTACTGTTGCTGGGGTAAAATGACTTATTGTTGTTTTGATCTGTATCTAATAACAATCTGCAGACAACGTAACCTTGCTTGCTGAAACTGAGGAGAAACTGCAGAAAGTCGAGGAATGCAGCCTTCAATACGGATTGAAGCTCAATATCAAGAAAACAAAGATTCTCACCATTGAGCCAACTGGCAGCATCATGATAGATGGAGAAAAAATTTGAGATTGTTAACACCTTCAGCTTGCTTGGCTCCACAATCAACACTTTTGGTACTAGCAGTTAGGAAATCAAAAGATGAATGGCATTGGGATAATGTGTCAGGGACCCCTCCAGAGTACTGAGGAGCAAGGATGTTGGTCTAGAGACTTAGGCGTACCTGATCAAGACCATGATCTTCATCATTACTTGCTATACATCAGAGAGCTGGACAATTACTAAAAGTGATAGAAGAATTGATGTCTTTGAGTTATGGTGATGGAGAAAAGTACTGAATATACCATGAACTGTTAAGAGAACAAACAGGTCCATCCTAGAGAAGGTGATACCAGACTGCTCCTTAGAGGCAAAGATTTTGAAGCTCTGTCTGACATACTTTGGGAATGTGGCAAGGAGGGACCAGTCCCTGGAGAGGGATATGCTTGGGAGGGTGGAGGGACAGCACAAAAGAGAAAGACCCTTGATGAGATGGACTGACTCAGTGACTGGGGTAATGAGAGTAGGTATGTCAGAAACAATGAAACTGGCTCAAGATAACAGCAGGGTTCAGAGCTGATGTACATAGGGTAACTATGAGTTTGTATGCAACTCTATGGACACACACCACCAACAACAAGAACTCCAAATGCTCTTGAGTATTTCTTCATGTGCTTGTGGGCCATCTGAATGTCTTCTCTGGTGATATGTCTAACCATGCCTTCTGAGTATTTTAGAAACGGATTGTTTGCCTTTCTCTTGTTGAGATGCTGGGCTTTCTACAGATTTTAGAGGCTTGTCCCTTGTTACATAAATCATAGCCAAATATCCCCCCCCATTCAGTAGGTTCTCCTTTTACTATTCTGGAGAAGTCTTTAGATACACATAAGAATTTCATTTTTAGGAGCTCGCAATCATCTAGTTTATACTGTATGCTTTTGTTACATCTAATAGTCTATTTACGTTACCGATTACAGATAAACTACAGAATCAAATTTTTATTTCTAGGATGATAGCATTTTACTGTTAGTCAAGATTTTTTATTTTTTTTTTTTGTTAATCAAGATTTTAAAAAATTAAAAAAAAAATAAAAGAACATAAGGAACGTCTACATGGGCTACTAGGGATGAGAAGAAATCTTCTTTTCAGGCTGTGTCCTTTTGAACTCTCTGAAATACTTCCCTTGTGAAAATATTATCTTAAACCAGTACAAAAATTAGAGAAAACTGTGGATCAGTTGGCCATCTCTTCAAAAGGAAGAGACAGGTAGTCCTTTACCCTAGACAGAAGGAAATTCAGAAATAGTTAAAACAAAAATCTTTTCTAGAAGAGACTTCATCCTAAGAGTTTAGAAATTAAATAAATACCTTCCGACTTGATATGTAGGGACAGCTGTCGTTCCAAATCTTTGCATTCCATAGTAGTTAATAAATCCAATCTCCTTGAGAGAGTGCATGGCTTGCTGCACTTGCTCATCAGTTCCTGTTATATTTCTGTGGCGGTCCAAATAATCCAGAGAGAGAAAAACATGTACCATCAAACAATTCAAGGATATGTGTCATAGATGACTCGGACCTGCCTCTCCTGCCCACCTCTCGTGATTTTTTCTGTCTCCAAGGCTCTTTCTCTCCAGCACAGGATCTGAAGAAGGCGGCTTCTTTCCAATAGTTGTGCTGAATTTTCAGAAGTTGGGGCATCTATGCAAAAACTACACCACTACCAGCTTTCCCAGCCCTACTGGACCCCTCGTCCCATCTCAGGCTGCCATTACTGCTAGTAGCAGCTAATCAGAACTTTAATGGCTGTTCTATTATGAACAGAATCAAGGTAACTCAAGAAGACCCTTACAAGAGTCTTTCTGATCATAGCTCTTTACCTGAGAACAACAGTGAAATGATTTCCTTGAAGTTCTCCCAATTTCAAAGGGTTTTTCTGGTAGCTGAAATTCCCAAGTTTAAAGTTCATCAAACACTTGTTCAAGTGGGCAAGTCTTTGAGCAGTTATTCTAAAAACAAACAAATAAAACAGCAATAGGTAAAAATGGAGAAGTAGGATAACAAAATATTGCTTTAAACCATCTTAAGACATCTTACTAAAAACAATGTTAGCTTGCAACATGAATAAACTGAGGCTCTGACCACTGAAAAAGAAGGTACCACAGCAGGTGGGTGTTTTGCTGCTGTGTGTAATATCAATAAGCAATAAAAAATATAAATTTACCATATTGAAAAATAATTATCAAAATAACCATGAGGCATCATCTCACTCCAGCAATGTATCACCAAAGTTCAACAGGGCAGCAAACAAAAAATGCTGGTGAGGTTGTGGAGACTGGAACTCTTATTCACTACTGGTGGGAATGTAAAATGGCACAGCCACTATAGAAAGCAGTCTGGTGCTTTCTCAAAAAACTGGGAGTTAGAAATACCATTTGACCAGGCAATTCCACTAAGGCAAATATACCCTAAAGAACCCAGAACCTCAACTCAAATAGACGTAGGCACACCCATGTTTATTGCTGCATTATTCACAACAGCAAAGAGATGGAAGCAATCCAAGTGTCCATCTACAAATGAATGGCTAGAAAAACTAGTCACACAATGGAGTATTATGGAGCACTGAAAAAAATGAACTCGTAAAACATTACACAACATGTATGAGCCTGGAGGACATTATGCTGAGTGAAATATCTCAGTCACAAAAAGAAAAACACTCCATAACACCACTGTTATAAGATTGGCTTCGGGGTTGAAAGGAAAATAGGGAAAGAGTGTATAGATAATGAAAACAGATGAGAGAAAGAATGGTCTTTAAAGAATATATGATTAGGCATTATATGTATGACAATAATCTAGAAGAAGGGTGCATTGCAAAGTGGACTGGAGAGGAGAGAGGGAAGAAAATGTGCAACAGTGAAAGAACATTTTTTTTTCTTTTTCTCATCCTTTGGTTTTTTTTCTGCACAAGTTAGGGGTTTTTTTTGTTTTTTTTTTGCAAGTTAGGTTTTTTTAATCAAGAAAGGGTGTAAAGCAAGTAAACAGTCCGCCTAGAAGCATTTGCAGTGGACGATGGAGGGACCAGACTCGTCATAGTCCTGCTTGCTGATCCACATCTGCTGGAAGGTGGACAGGGAGGCCAGGATGGAGCCGCCGATCCACAAGGAGTATCTGCACTCAGGGGGAGTGATGATCTTGATCTTCATCGTGCTGGGGGCCAGCACTGTGATCTCCTTCTGCATCCTGTCGGCGATGCCTGGGTACATGGTAGTCCCGCCAGACAGCACTGTGTTGGCATAGAGGTCCTTGTGGATATCCACATCACACTTCATGATGGAGTTGAAGGTAGTTTCATGGATGCCACAAGACTCCATGCCCAGGAAGGAGGGCTGGAAGAGTGCCTCGGGGCAGCGGAAACACTCATTGCTGATGGTGATGACCGGCAGCTCAAAGCTCTTCTCCAAGGAGGATGAGGAACCCACCATGGCCATCTCTCCTGCTCCAAGTCCAGGGCAACGTTACAGAGTTTCTCCTTGATGTCACGCACAATTTTCCACTCAGCTGTGGTGGTGAAGCTGTAGCCTCACTCGGTAAGGATCTTCACGAGATGGTCCGTCAGGTCCTAGCCAGCCAGGTCCAGACATAGGATGGCATAGGGGAGGGCGTACCCCTCAGAGATGGGCACAGTGTGGATGACCCCATCGCCAGAATCCATCACAATGCCAGTGGTTCGGCCAGAGGCATACAGACACAGCACGGCCTGAATGGCGATGTATATGGCAGAGGTGTTGAGGATCTTGTCCTCTTCTCTGGGTTAGCCTTGGGGTTCAGGGGGGCCTCTGTCTGCAGCACAGGGTTCTCTTCAGGGGCCACACACAGTTTGTTGTAGAAGATGCGGTGCCAGATCTTCTCCGTGTTGTCCCAGTTGGTGACAATGCCGTGCTCAATGGGGTACTTGAGGGTCAGGATGCCACTCTTGCTCTGGGCTTCGTACCCCATGGAGGAGTCCTTCTGGCCCCTGCCCACCATCACGGCCTGGTGCCGAGGGTGCCCCACGGTGGAGGGGAAGACAGCCTGGAGGGTGTCGTCACCCGCGAAGCTAGCTTTGCACATGCAGGAGTGTTGTCGACCACGAGCGCAGTGATGTCATCAATCACGGTGAGCTAGGGTGGCAGGTGTGAACCGGCGGCGGTGACTGTGTGGTAACCCTAACCCTGTGCTCCGGGAAAGAAGAGGTCTCGGCTGTGCCTGCGCTATACACCGCAGGGTTTTATATCAAGGACAAACATTTTAAAAAACAAAAGAACCACCAAAAAAAGAGGCAATGATTCCTTGTGACCATCAATGAGAAAAATCAGTCAACTGGTTAGGATGATCTCTGCCAGATTTTTTTCAGTGTAAGAGGAGTCATTTCTTTCAAAAAGTAATTTCTTCTCTTCGCTCTTATTTATTATGTAATTCTTAATAAATCTTATATTGTATTTTTTATTTTTTTAATTGTATTTTTTTTCTTTTTATTTTTTATTTTTGTGTGAGTGTACTGTCAAATCAGATCTGACTGGTACAAGAGGAGATTGTTCCTCCTTCCCTGGCAGAGCATCTGGTGGATTCGAACCGTGTGCCTCTGGGATTGTGGTTGCAGCTCCTTGCCATTAGGCCACCAGAGCTCCCCTTATATTGTATTTTTAACGAATACTAATTGTAACTCCTATTCTGTAATTCTGTGGTTTGATATTTTTTAAAAATATGTGTTTATCCTGTTTTCCAGTGGCTGATTCTTGCCTACATCAATTTTTAGTTAAATTCACCAATTTTTTAATTTCCCTTCCACCTCCCCCTGCTCTCTTTATTTGATGTACCGACGAACTGGATCTGACTAGCACAGGAGTAGATTGTCCCTCCTCCAGCTGAGCATCTGGTGGATTCGAACCATGTGCCTTCGGGATTGCAGCACAGCTTCCCCTCTACCTTTTTAAAGGTCTAGGTTTCGAGCTAAACTTACAAAAAACATTTTTACACAGAGATTTTTTTTTAAATGCATGTTTAAGTGCAGTACTTTTTCATGTTTAAGTATTTCAGCTCCCTGGAATTTCTTTTTCCTTGGAAAGTGAGAGAGGAAGCCAATTTAATTTTTCTTCCAGATAGGATCCCAACATTCAGTGACAATTTCTCCTTCCATCTATCTTAAATGCTACTTCAAATACAGATTATGTAGTTTGTATTACTATCTGGTCTTACTAGATTTTTTTCCCCTATTCATGTGGATTATGAAATTGTTTTCATAGCTGTGTTTCTATTTCTATGAGAGCTGACCCTCTTCTACTAGTTATCTTTTTGAAAGTTTTATAGCAAGTTCCCTATCTTTTCTACGACTTTATGATTAGCCTGATTAAAAAATTCCAATGGTATGCTCATTAGAATCATTAGTGCTATTATTTATAAGCATTTTCAGTTAGAAAAGATCGTCATAGGTATCTAAAAACAGGGTTCATCATTCTTTTATTCAAATCATTTAGGTCTCTCTATAGGATTTAAAAATTTTCTTCCTAGAAACATTAATACATTTAAATAATAACTGAATTCCTAGGTATGTGACTTTTCTTTAAAACTAATTTCTCATTATAATTTCTAACTGGTAATTATTTGCACATTGATTTTTATATAGCCCCCCTCATAATTGGTCACATTAATTTTTATCATAATTTTCAATCAGCTTTGATTTGGTAGAAACCAAATTACCGTCTACCAAAAGTAAAAGTAATTTTGCCCCCTCCCTTCTAATTTTCACACCTCTTATCTCTTAATTTAGTCTATTTGCCCTAGCTAGGGAGCTCTGGTGGGCTAGCGGGAAGACGCTGCACTGCCATACCAATGGCATGCAAAAGGTTCAAATCCACCAGCTTCTCTGTGATGGATCGTGCAATTTATTGCCTCTGAAAACCCGCTGGAGAGTAGAGCTATGGGCTAGTTTTGACTCAGCACAACAATATATCCAAAAAACAGTAAGGAGCAGTGACAGTAATGCAGTTATTTTTATTGTGTTCCTGTCTCCAAATATAACACTTCTAATATTTTACTTCTGAGAAAGAAGCTGGATTTTCAATTTAGAGTTACTTATCTGTTATTCAACTATCCCGACTTTAGTAAAAGAAGTCATTTTTACTAGAAACCTTTTTTATGGCTAAACATAAACTCATTATTTGGACTTCAATCATTTGTTTAATCATTTATTTTATTTAACCAGTACCATTTTGGGTCCTTTGGATTGTTTTCAAAATTACAAATAACATGGCACAGTACACCTCAATGCACAAACATCTGTAATTTTTCTAAATTTCCTCTTTTTATTATTATTATTTTTTGTGCATGTACTGTCAAATCAGATCTGACTGGTACAGGAGGAAATTGTCCCTCCTTCTCCAGCAGAGCATCTGGTGGATTTGAACCGGGTACCTCTGGGATTGCAGTAGAGATTCTTGCCACTAGGCCACCAGAGCTCCCCAAAATTTCCTTTTTCTAAGTTTTCTTTGAAAATGTACCTCTTTGGAGAATGACCAGAAAAAAGGATTGGTGGTCTTCATTTTGCTGACGCCTAGGCTTCACTCTATGACTCCAGGCTCTGTCAGCATATTCAATGCCGATCCGAGCTCACTCCTGCCGGCTCATGCTGTTAGGAATCATATATCAGTTCTGCTTGGGAATACTCGCATTGGGCAGGTCTGAAGTGGGCACTGGCCCTGGGCCTGCACAAAAGATCAAGTTCTGGTTTAAAGTACCCACAAAACCCTGGACGAGTAACTAATTATGGAAGTCGTTCCAAGGAAGTAAGTGCTCTTTCTTGGCAAGCCTGCGAGGTCCCAACATCACATGAAAAAGAAAATTTACTCTCTCTGATTACAAATGAGGGTTCTGGTGAACTAGTGGTAAGAAGCTGCTCTGCAATACCAAGGGCATGCAGTTCAAATCCACTAGCTGCTCTGCAGGAAACAGATGAGCAATCTCCTCCTGT